AAAGATACAAGATCCATTTGATCTTGGAAGCTAAGCAGGGTCAGTTCTTTTTAGGCCTTGGATGGCAGAAATTCATAGTGCCACCATAAGTTGATAGGCGACATGATGAAATACATATCCACACAGCATATGCAAAATGTGACCCAAAGTAGAAATAGATCTGTCTGCCCACCTCTATGGGCAAGGTTAGCACAATGCAGCATCAGAGGACAGGAATAAGTAAGGATTTGCTGCCAACATAGTCTGAATTCCAGCCAGTTTTAAACAATTTAAAACTTCAGGGTATATTTTCTTTTTTTATGAAGTGGTTAAAGGAAGGAAGCAGACATTTGATGCAACACAATTATTTCAACAGTTCCCTGAAAAATATTTCTCATGTTTATTCTAATTAAAATATAATATATAAAGGAAGCAAAGAAAGCATATGTATAGTGTGCATGTAGTAAATCAACACCAAAGTAGAAAATATACACATATCACACGGATCTTTAAATAACAGCATCCCATGGCAGTAGCCATGGTAGCATGGAGTTTCTGAGAACAGTAATTTTAAAAAAAACTTTGCAAAGTTGTAAGGATACACATACTCAAGGTCCTCCACTTTTATGTGCATTAGAAGTGTAAGAGTGGAAAAGACTTATATGTGTGTGTGTGTGTGTACTTTAAGAATATCTTTATAGGCATCTCTAGGTCCTACAGCAGCGGTCCCCAAACTAAAGCCTGCGGGCTGGATGGAGCCCTCCAAGATCATTTACCCAGCCCCTGCCCTAAACTTTAGATTTAGGGTCACCCTAAGTCTGAAACAACTATAAGGCACACAACAACAACAACAACAACCCTAATTAGCTTGACAATCTCATCAACCAAAAGCAGGACCACATTTCCCATTGGAAGACTTGGTTAAAATTGTTTTTGTTTTTAAATACTGTATTATTTAATGGTGGGGTGTTGCACTACAAATAAGATATGTGCATTGTGCAGAGGAATTCATTATTTTTTCAAACTATAGTCCACCCCTCCAACAGTATGAGGAACCATAAATCAGCCCTCTGTTTTAAATGTTTAAGGAGGAAATTGACAAATTAGGAAAAAATAAACAAAGAAAAAACTTTATCGAGGACTGGCAACCATTTCTAAACTACGTAAAAAAGAAAAAAAAGGAAATGATTTTATAGAAGGCTTCATAATTTAACCTGTTGGGATCTGTGTAGGTGATTTATAAATAATAAATATCAGGTCAGAAGGAAAACTAGAAAACAGTGGTCTCTTATTATCAAGTTCATTAGTCGCCATTTCCATCGGTTGTCTTTTGTTCGTGCTATATGTCCTGCCCTCCTTCTTTTTGCCTCAGAGAGCTCACTGACCACACCAAGTACCCCGGTTCTTTGACACAGCTCTTTGTTGCTGACTTTATCCCTTATTGTCATGCCACACCCTTCTTTCCATTGCTTTCTGAGTCATCGTCAGTTTTTCTTCTTCCAACTTTGTTATTGCCCATGTTTGAGATGGATATAACATTGCCAGTAGAACTGTAGTATTGAAGATATCTACATTAGTAGCTTACCATCTGTTAGCACTGTTCGGTTTTGATTAAAAGCCATCCAAGCCACCTTTTGTCTTCTTGACCATTCTCCAGTTGCCAATTTATTCAACTGTACTTGTTATCCAAGATATATATATATTCAGCCACTTCTTCAATTTCATATCAGTTTATCACAATGTGGCCCTGGAGTAATTGTTTGTATTTCCATGTTTGAAGTTTGGCGATGCTATGGATGTCCTGACAAGTACTTCACATTTTCCCATCCTGGTTTCAATCGCTGCATAAAATATGCTCTGATCAGCTGCAGTGATTTTCTTTTTGGCATATTCTCAGCTTTTGGGGGAGAATTGGGGGATTATATTTCGTGGACACCGCACTCTTGAGCTGGCTTCAAACTGTTATATAGTGTCTGTGTAGACACATCTAAGAAGGCATTTAAGGAAGGCTGCTTTGAGGTCTGCATTGGATGAGTATGTGATATTCCTGCATTTGATTTTCAAGACCTTAAAAATTTCACACTCCTCAATTTCTGAGCATCTTTAGAAAAAAAGAATGATTTCTCAAGTGAGTTCATTCATTGCTGCTTAGGTTAATTGAATGAATACTCTATTTTAGATGTTCAATAAAGCTCTGTCTGGTTTAATATAAACCCTTCCTCTTTGCTTCCTTCTGAAATATGTAGGCAACAACTTTAAAGAAATAAAGTCTCATCACTCAACTCATAAAACTCTTCCTCCTGGACTCTCTTTCTCCTAAATACTGCATCCACCTTTAATCCCAGAAAATAATTAGCAATTTTGAGTCCCCCTAGGGGTGAGAAAAGTGGTATATAAATACTGTAAATAAATAAATAAATAAATTTAGAGTACAAACTAAAATTAAAAGGATTAGAATGAAAAATTCTGCATTTATTTTATCAAGGAAGATTTCAAAGAACAGATTCAAATATTTACCTTTCCGAACCCTTTGTCAACATAATCATCAGAAATAGTGCCGATTAGCAAGTAACTCACAAACATCTAAATCTTTAGTGTTGTCCTTTATGTCCCAAAAGAGATTAAGAACCACGTTTCCCTGTTTAGGCATGGAGGTAATACTTCTAGCAATAGCCTGAAGACTTAAAAAATGTTAAGTAAAGTGAATACAGGCATAACCCAACTAGCAAAGTCTCTGGCAAAAAAGTTCCTTTTTACAATGTTTTCCCCCTATCCAACTCTTCATTTTCCCTTTCTTGTCCTCCTTCTTGTTGGAAGTTTTTTTTTCTCTAACAGCATTGAATTGAAAGGATAGTGAAATACTGGAGAAACATAGACTTTCAGCTAGGAAAGAATGGGTTCCTCAACCAATCCTATTCTAATTGTGGGCCCATCCAGACAGGCTTTAAAAGCCTGTCTTGGTTTTACCGGAGGCATCCAAACACTGCCTCCAGTAAAACTGAATTAATTTGAATCAAAGCAGGGTTTCCCTGCTTTGTTCTGAATTAATTAAACACCTGAAAAGATACAGATCTTAGGCAAGATCCGGGTCTTACCAGGTGTGGGCCCAGTGTGGATTGGGCCCAGGGACTGCATCACATGATCTCCAGGCCCATTCCACACAGCCTAAAAAACTGAGAGGGCACCCACCTCTTCCCCCCAAACCCCAAAATAACACCTAAAAAGTTTTTTCCTCCACCCTCCTGGTGCAAGGAAATTATGTGCCAGGAGACAGGGGACCGAGGAGCCTCTCTTCTCCATTTCCTGGCACCAGGAGGGTGCAAGGAGGGCTATAATGATGGCTGGGTAAGTTAAAAAAACTTTTTAGGGGTTTTTTTTTGGGGGGGGACTTGGGGTGGCTGCATGCCATATCGATAGTAATCAAGATGGAATGTTGCCACCCTCCCCAGGGCAATCCAGGTTTTAGATGGCTTGTGGGGAATAAAGCCTGCACTGAAGCAGGTTTTTAAAACCTTCTTCAGCATGGGTTTAAGTAATGTCTGGAAGCAGACATTACTTAACCGGCAGAGCAACAGTAGCTGCCTCTATAATCTCTTATGAAGCATGCCTGAACAGAAAAACAGAGAGAACCAGCTCCCCACCATACACACACAGTTTGGCCTCCAAGATGGAAACCTTACACAAGGCTTGCCTGATCTAGTTGTATCATTTCATGTATTCGTACTGTTAGTTTTGATTTTTTTTTTAAAAAAAAGAAACTTTGGTAAAGTATGCTGAGCTGTCTTTCTGCTTTTTGGAGTTTTCTCTTCTTATTACTACTTTTGTAGCCAAACTTTCTGTTAAGGAAATAAAATCCAAGAATAAATTTACTTTGTTAACTGAGGTACATCTGTATCTCCCTCTCCATTCCCTCTCCAACCTAAATTCAACCAATCAATACATATTATTTGTTGTAAATAAATACACAATCCTTATCATTTTCTGTAAATACTTGAATAAACATTTGAAAGAAATTAATCTAGGAATGAATCTTCGTAGTGGGTAGAAGACTGATAATATACACTGAATAACTCACAACAGCCACACACATTGTGATGTTAGTCTTCTTCTTTGGAAAGTACTTGTATGAAAAATAGGTATTCCCATTCTTATCAAAAGTCAAAATCCAACAACTGATTTGAGATATCACATCTAATAATAAACGTCTCATACTATCATCAGTCAGAGTTGAGAGGTTTATCTTGTAGTATGAAACATGTTTACTTATATATTCACAATAAATCACATGGATTATTTATATGCAAGAAATTATATGGATGTTTTGACCAACTGAGCATGTGGATTTATCATAAGTTTGATTTATACATTGATGTGTGTGTATGCACACATGTTCCGCTTATTATTTGACTCTCCACTGTTTGTTGTTAGTTTTGTATTAAGTCTTATTTTCAATTCCTCTTCATCACTAGTGCTCATTGACAATCCTGGTGCAGATCATAAAAGTGTATACAGTATACTAGGTTGGGTATAAGTTCCTAAAGTTTCTTTCCTTTACATTAATGTAGATATATTTTTACTGTGTATCTGTTCAAGAAACATGATGATCCCTTAGCTGCATACACCTTGTCCATGATCCATTTTAACAAAATAATTGTATTAAAAAGAGATGGTATGTTTTCATGATTCAAATAACGTTTCCTTTTCCTTCCCACTTATTTAAAACTTCAAAGATATCAAACACAGTTTGGGCATAAAATGTACTTTTTGCAGAAATCTGCAGATTGATTTAAATTTTGCACATTTCATCTTCAACAAACTGGCATGGGGGAAGACTAGAAGAGAGAGATTTGCGTGATTTACATTTTCCCATATCTTCATAGCAATACTTTATCTCAGCAGTTCCATTATCCCTAATATCAATAATGTCTGTGGATTAGAAATTTTTGGTTATAGAAAACTGTACTTATAAGCCACTTAGCTGAAAGAAAACAAAGTATAAGAAAAAGAGAAAGAATAATTACCTGTCTTTGATGCCACAGAGATCAATGCGCAGATCGCTAAAATTCCCCAGGGAACCTTGCTGAACTAAAATGAGGTCCTTGGGCTGGTTATCAATAAAAATGAGTCTCATGCAGCCTTGAAAAACCGTAATGGGATTTAAACATTTCAAATCAGTGAAATTGTCAGGGCACCCTGTGGGGCAAAGAAAGGAGAAAAGAGTGAGATGAAGTATACTTAAATGACAATTTATTTCTTGGGGATTTACCAATGGAAGATCTAATTATTCCTAGTGTTTCCATCACCTTCTCAACATGAGTATTTGAGTTATAAATTCTCTTGTAATAAAAACAAAATTATGGCAGCAAATAGATGATAATGTAATAAAAGAGCAACTAGAACAAGTTCAAACACACACTTCATTTTATTCCTTCTATGATATAAAAAGCAATCAAAAGACTATACAAGTGTTTCCATTATTCTTAGTCCAGTGGGGTGGAAGTCATCTGGCACTGCCTACTGAACAAACTATGATGGCAAAGGAACAATGACATATGGATAAATTCAACATTTCTGATCCAAGTTGCGTATCCCTTTTCTGAAAAGCTTGGGCCCAAGAAGTTCTTTAGATTTTAGATATTTTTATTTATTTTGGGTTTTTTGGATTTGGAATTCCTGGATTTGCATATGCATATATAATGAGGTATCTTGGGAATGGGATCCAAGTCTAAACACACATATCTTTTACCATACACCTAACTGACATAGCCTGAAGGTAATTTTATACAATAGTTTTAATAACTGTATGCATGTTTGTGCACATCAAACCATCAGAAAACAAAGGTGTCAGTGTCTCAGCCACACGTGGAACAATTTTAGATTCTAGAATATTTCTGAATAGAATACGTTGAATGTTTAGTAGTGGTATTAGTTGTATAAAAGTAACACATATAAATTGTATCCAGATTTAGTAAATGTGTTGCTATTGCCTGTTGTACACCTCCGGAGTGGACCCACCTTGATATTGCTTGTGAAATTTCCAATAATGGCCTGATTTACACAGGTCACATTATTAGTTTATCTTCACGGTGGGAAAAATTCAGAAACATTTTCAAAGTGGTCAAAGAACATGTCACTCCAATATTTCAATTTAGAACTTGATGGAATAGCATTAGTGTGGGAAGGTAATTCTATGAGGATGTGTGGTACTATTGTGGGATCATAAATTAGTCCATTGGCACAATTGCACTAATGAAAAAAGGTTCAAATCCCTTGAAAACCTTTTTAATGGAAGCAGTAGCTTTCCTAAAGTCATGATTTATTTTCTGTAAATCCCCAGATTTGCGCCACCACTCCAAAACCAAAAACAATTATTCAATTAATTTAATACTCCCACTTAGTAGTGTTTATACTAGCAAATTAGTTTTCCAATTTCAAATATTTAAGATTATTGAATTAAGTCTCAAACCTAATGTTCCAAGCTCTAGTTGCAAATAGGAATCAGAAGGGCCGAGAGAATTACTAGAGAATAAATTTACTATTCACTGTTGATCAATAAGTGATAGGACTAGTTAAAGCAGAAGAATTAATATATCAATAGCTCTCTGAGTCAGGACATTAGACCTAAGGTAATAGCAATCTCACTTACAACAGACTTTGCCCAGATGTACATAACACTAGTGACCAGTTAAGCAGCTATATGTGGCAGTCCACCAAGGTTCATTGTTTGCAATGTGTTGGAACTGCAAAACATGGGGCATTACATATGCAAGAGACCTTACAGGCTCATTTCATGATTGTTTTTTTCTTCTGGATCCTAAACTATGCAAGCTCCCAAATCACTTCAGCTAGCAGGCTGAAGCAGTAATAAATTTAAACATCTGTGCACCTGGTTTAAGTCAAACAAAGTACATATACTGCTACACATAGCAATGAAGCAACAGCTGGGAGAGGTTTAGGCATTGGCTTCCTGCTGATAAGGTATGCCCTAGAAATCCTACCCCACCTTTTTCAACATGGTGTTTACATTGGGGTAATTTTTTTGCCAGCTTGCTGGTCTTATGAATGCATCTGGGCTAAAAATGACTGCATTATTTAGGGAGAAACAGATAGTGATAATGGAAATGTCATCTGATAGAACTGTGCTTCCTGGATATAATCAAGTAAACTCTCTGAAATATCAGAGGTGCAAAGATCAAATCAAAATAAAGTCTTTAAAGTCTCTAGATTGTTCAAGTTGGTTTTAACTGGAACAGCTTCACATATACAGGAAGCATAGCCAAACAGTATTAATCTAGGGCAAATGTTCTGCTAACCTTGCTAGCATAGAATGCAATTTAAAACAAATAGACCAGATTACAATGATCAGGGGAGGCTATATCATGAGCCAAAGTATAGCAAATATTACAACCGGAGTAGGTTCTAGGGAACAGCAGTAACATCTCTTTCTTATGAGTCCCTGGCTGTTCCCCTCTATTGAAAGCAGGAACAGCTGATGCTTACATATGGAAGATACAGTGGTACCATTAGTACCTTGTGGTACTATTTGAAATGTCAAGGAGCTATCCAGAGTGCTGAACTGTTTTCCCATTTTAGTCTCAGCACCTTTAATAACTCTTTTAAAGTCTGGAATAAAGCTTAGAGTGGATTGTCTGCAACCTGGATATGGATACCATCAGCAGCCCTTAAATGAAGGACAGTGAAGGGTGTATTGCACAACCATTCACTTTATATATTTGTTTTATTTCTCTGCAAGTGGGACACAAGGCAGCTCAGATAAAATTAGTTAAAATGATAATTTTTGAAAACAGTGATCAAAAGCACCACAATATTGTTCCATAAAAGATACGAAAATTAAAAAAAAACATTTTGAAAAACCAGGTTACTCTGTGAGAATAATTACATATTTAAAGTCTGCTTGGACAAAAACATATTTGCCAGATGGTTAAAGAAAACAGGATGTAAATCAGCTTGTAGAAGTGAAATATAGAGGGTAGAAACAGCCACTGAAAAAGTTCTTTCTCATGTCCTTGCCAAGCAAGTCTGAGATGAATGGCATGACCAAGATAATATTAGAATTCTAGCATATTCATATAATAACAAAAGGTATTTCAGAGAGTCTGGACTTAAACCATATATGACATGACCGCTACATTCCCAGAAGGTGATCTGGGGTCCTCTTATGTGAGGGGAAAATGTTAGGCCAATGTCACTACCAAACAACAGGTAGTGGTAATTCTATTTTGAATAAAAAATGAAGGCAGCCACACCACCTTGTTCTTTCACTAAGGCAGGAATATGTCTTGTGCTGCCCTATCAGTAATTAGCTTTATACATATGTGACAGAAATGTACTGAGAGGTTTTAGAAAATTAGTTTTTTAAGATCCCATAGACTCCATTGAACATCCCTGCAAATGTGTTGCTTGGTTTATTCCATAAACTAATACAACCAGTGAGAGTGGAAAAAGTGCCTACACACATTTTTCCACTCTCACTGGTTGTATTAGTTTATGGAATAAACCAAGCAATGCATTTGCAGGGATGTTCTGTAAGACCTAAATAGAACCAGGATGCAGAAAGCCTGTTAATTGTGTTTTCACAATAGAATTTAAATTGCTTATGATGTTTCTATTGCTGCTTTTCCAGATTTTAATTGTAGGAACTTTGAATGATTAAATGCCTGTCAAGTGTTCATGCATGTTATTTTAAAAGAGAACTTTCCATCAAAATCTGGAAGCCATGTTGTCAACTTGCCATAGTTATTTAAAAGAAACAAATGAGGAAAAAGACTAATAAACATTGTTTTGGAAGAACATACACTGCTAGTATTTTATATTTGATGTCTGATTTTGGAAGCTAAGCAGAATCAGTCCTGAATTGTACTTGAATGGGAAGCCATCAATGAATACTAGGTGCTATAGGCTCTATTCCAGAGGAAGGAACTGGCAAAACCACCTGTGAGGATCCTTGGCTAAGAAAATCTTATGAATTTCATGGGGTCACCACAAGTCAACAGATAACTTGTGGTGACCCCATGATCTTCTGATCTAATATATAGTAATAAACAGCACCAAAGATCAGCTCTTTCTACTGAGACAGTCTCTTGATGAAATATAAAATACATGCTTGCTAGATAGGTAAAAACACTCTTTGAAAGCTGATATCAATCACTTTTGTGATAAATCATTATTTTGCTTTTCTGAAAGCCATTTCTTATCTAGAGCCATTTCTGCTCCTCTCTTCCCTTCACCTTCTCTCTCTTCACTGAAGGGGGTTCCAGCGAGACAAGGGTTAGATCCTTAAAGCTCTTAAACATTGTCACCATTGCCCTCATTACCACCATTAATGTATTTTGCACCATCAAATGTCCATGCTACTTTACTGTACAAAAACTCAAAATAGTAGGTTCTGCCAAAGGTGTGCAAACTAAAATATATGTACATACACATAGAAAAACAGAGAGAAGGAGCAAGAAAACACAAAACTGTAAATAAAAACGGTAAAACAAAGCATCCAGATAAAATGCAACAATAAGAAGAATGCATTATAAAACAAACCAAACTGACCAATACATGTAATCAGCATATATAGGACAAAAAATCAACATCAAATCCTCAAACTTTGGAAAACAAATTTTCAATCGAGATTTAAAATCAATTACGGAAGGAGCAATCCACAAAAGCTCAGTTAGCCAGTTGTAAGAATTTGAGGCAGCAGGTGAGAAAAGAGGAAACTGAGCTGAGGTAGAGGAAATCCTTGGTAGGATGAAAATCTTAGAATTTTTAAAACACAACTCTCAAACAGAATGATAAAAAATGGAAGGGGCTGAAAGATAAGGGAGAAGGTAGCTTGTATAGGACTTTAAATGTTAACACAAGATGATTGTACTTTATCATAGAAGGGATAGATAACCAATGAAGATATACCTAAATGATAAAAAACAGACTCAAAAGGTAATATTAGAAGCTGAATGTTGAAACCAGAGACTCAAGTAAGAGAATGGAAAGACAGGTTAAAAAAATAATTAGGACAGGAAATGACTAAGGCATGTACTAAGCAAAGGAAGCAGGGAGAAAAGGTTCAGTTTTGGCAATGATATAAAAGAAAGTCATTGAAAACTATACCGTTTTTGAAGACTATTAATGTGTTGCAAAAATTGCATTTGTTTGCAAAAAAAGAGACTTTTTTGAACATAAAACAAGCTTTCAGTGCAAAAATGTTATTTTCTGCAGAGAAACTTGTGTTTTGTGCAGGAAATCTATTTTCTGTCCAAAAAAATTGCTATTTTTCTATGCAAGAATCTTGGAGAAAAAAAGCAACCTGTACAAACTTTTTGTGCAAAATAAGTCCCGAATTGCCTCAATAAAATTCTCCTTGTTAGCATTGCCCAATATTCAATAACCATGTTTTTGACCATTTAAAAATATTCTTCCCATTCCCATTATTAAAATATAGTACTGGGCCTCCTGAGAGTTGCTTTGTGCAATATTTTCATGGATTAAGATTGAAATGAAAGTGTAAGGAGTCCTATGACAAACTCTAAATGTCACTTCACTAATCAAGAGAGTCCCTTGTGTGAATAAAGATGTAATGGTTGTTCTTCACTCAACAATTAAGCCATGAATCTGATGACATCATCCACACCCCATAGTGTCCTCAAGCTGACAAAGGACCTGCAGTAGAGGAATCTGGCCTGACACCCTACACAACTCCCCACCCCTGCAGAACTCCCCACCATTATTCACAATCTTTTTTGAAATCTCATTAATTTCAGGTTTGGCAGGTTGTTTACAAAACTGGTCATATTTGCTGGAACTGGGGAATATAATCTGGTTTCTCCATATATTGCAAGTGCTCATTTGCTTGAAAGCTTTGACAGCTTAAACCCCCAAACATTTTGCTTCTCAGTCTTTAAAGAGGCAATGCATTATAACTGTTTATTAACAGCACAGATTAGAAAGTATTTAAAACTCACAGCAGAATGGGAGGGATACATTATTTTAAAACAATTTTTATTACAGTGAAGGTAACTTACCTCCAAAAAAGTAGCTGTGCCCTGAATAAATCTGAGAAACTGTGGTTGCATGAACAGCTGATGTGACATCATTATCTAGAGTTAGTGTGATCCGATGTCTCCTAGCATTGATGTTAACTGAGTGCCATAGGCCATCATAGAGATTACTGCCTGGAAACAAACACAGAGTGTAAAAAGGACCAACCAGTCACAACGGACAAGATGGAAGAGGAGGTGGTGATACTTATGAATAATTTTGGTATACTTTAAGGAAATAACAAAACTACTCCTTAAGGAATTCCAAAGGGCAGCACAGTATAAACAATAGAACAATGAAGGTTTTTTCCTCCACAGCCAGTGTGTATACAATCTCAGAGTTCTGACATATATTAGAAATTTTCTTATTCACTTTAATGAATGTGATAGATATATACTGTACATTAACATTCTTTCTCACTATTATCACTTGGGACACAAGCTAACTTTCCAACACATTCGATGTTTTGTTCTGGTTTTTTTTTTAGAAAAACAAAAACAAAGAAACAGAACACAAAACTGGTGTGGTGCAAATATAGGGAGAGAAGTCAAAACACTGTCCAATCTGTCAAAATGAAAATAAATTTTCCTTGAATTGCAGATGTTGAATTCACTAAATACAAGTACAATGAGGAGCAGGTTATATCTGCTTGCCTTGCTGGTATTAATGTTGAGAAGCCACATAAAAAATGAGATGGCAATTCAAATTAAACATCACCACGGTTAGATACAAAGGCATTCAAATCCAAATTTCTAACACAGCTAAATTCACAAATCTGTAGACCCCACATACTTTTGGGGTTTTTTTATCCCAACTACTTTCTGTATCAACTATAAAAAATATAATGAATGGTAGAAAATTCTTTTAAAAAGAACTGAATTTCTGCTTCTCCTAAATTTAACGTTGTTTTGTGTGTGATGTAGAGATGCTGAATTGTGTTTGTTCTCCCACTTGTCCACCACATAACTATTGATATTGTATTTCTGATACTTCACAGTACATAGTAAATAAGTCATTTTTGTCTGGCAGCTTATTTTCTTTAGATTATCATAGCCAAAAAAACCCAGATATTGTATTTGGTTGTTAATTTGGAGCATTACATGATAGGTTTAAAAGTTGGAAGTGGGTGAATTTTGCTTTGAATTGTGAACATCTTGAACTTTCATGGCATATGTGCTTTAGAAGAGATCTGATTTATTTCCAATCTGCATTATGTTGTCCTTGGCATACCAATCTTAGTTTTAAGCAATAACTTTACTTAGGAATCCAACTGTTGAACTGAATTGGTTTCCAAGCAAATATGCTTGGATTTAGAGATACTTCCATCCCCATGAATTGTATTTTTTGAATCAAGGTGTATGTGTTTGATTAAGACAGATTCTTTTTTTGCAAAAAAAAATATCTAGCTTTTTTGGCTGTACTGGACAGTCATCACAGCTCAGTTAAGGAATAGAAAAGCCCTTGAGGAAACTTACAAACAGCAGTATATCAGACATGTAACAAATTAGTTTTTGGTTGTCATCTCTGAAGAACCACTAAAGTACATGTAGCATTAGGCAGGTTAGATGTCTCAAATCTGAACTTACTCCACCATCACCAAGCTCTTCAACCCTCTCTAAAAAGTCAGATCATAAGAGGAATTCCCGTGACAATTAAGTTTTGCTGGAACAGCAAGTTTTTCCTGAGCTTTGGTGTGCTGCTCCATCCTTGGGTTTATTCTTTTGGTATTGTCTTCTGATTCACTCCTTTATTATGGCTCCTAGTTTTAATCTTTGGTTCTGACTAAGGGTATAAAAATATTAATCACTTTTTCTTTTCTGTTTTAAGTTAAAACAGAGATGAAAGCCATGTTTTGGTATTTCAAACCTTTTGTTTTTGTTTTTTATAGAAAATACATTACACAAAAACATGTGCAAAATCTACTATTTGTGGAAAAAAGGGCTCTTTGTGCATTTTTTTCTTTTGTTCATCTCTTATTCTGACACTTCATTTTTGACTATAGACTTGCTCATATCTCTTAAGTGCTGACTCTTGGATAACCAAAATTGCTCATCGTGGCCTAGTCCTGATAACCTCTTAAGGCCAAGGGAACTGTGCATTCCCCGAATATATTTTACCACGGTTAGGAAAGCTCTTTCACCCAATTCAGCTATAATTGAGTTGGGACTATGGCTATTCCAAGTGGTTTTCACCCATATCTCTCAGCTGTGTGTGTATGTGTATCTTCATCCCCTCCATTTGCACTAGGTCAGGGAAGAAAAAGTCACAAATACATCAAACTATTAGGTGATATCTTAAATTCTTTATTTTTATTGTGGTTTGAATTTAGTTAACTCAATGCTGACATTACTAGCTACACAATTAATTTTAAATATTATTGTAACTGAACCTTTGGTGTTTTTTTTAAAATGATGCTCATGTTTTTTGTTAGATATTATTTAATTTACAGGGCATGTTATTATTTAATTTTGGGTTGTATGTTATAATTTGGTCTTAGATGTTGATTTATTTTGGGATTTGGCTGGTTCATTATGTATGTGCATTTATGGTTGTATCAAGCCATTGAATGTTTGTCCTTTTTTTGTTTGGAATTCACCTTGAGTCCTCTCAGGGAGATAGGGCAGAATATAAATAAAGATGTTGATGATAATGATGATGGTGGTGGTGATGATGATGATGATGATTATTATTATTATTGATTCAAGTAGGCCTTAAACCCAATTGCTCCCATTGAGAGTAGACCTATTAGATTAATGGGTATCACATAAATGTACTTCCTATTCAGCAATTTATTCAATGTTTTATTAGTTTGGATTAATAATCTCTGCCATTGAAGATTTAGTAATTCTTAAGCTATTGCACAACTGCTTTTGCATTAGGGCACAACAGAATGGTGTGGATACATCCTCCTATGCTGGGAGAAAGGGAAGGTACACATTAAATAAATAAAATAACCAATAAATAGATCTGAAATTTAACAACACTATGCTGCTACTGTTTTTTTTTATGATTTGCCTTTTGAATTGCCATCTTGGCATCCAATGACCTTCAGCTCACATGAAGCCCAAGGCTTGCTGTCACATCAACCACAAAGCAGCATATTGTTACGTGTTTTTACTTCTGACTAGATTTGGCAGAAAGACTAATACCTTGCTCCCTTTGTCTCAGCTTGGGATCTCCAATTAGATAACGCTTTGAAGCAAAAGATGTGCTATGATCCGTGTGTTCATTTAATAATAACACTAGGAACAAATTGGAGTGGGAAAACTGCTTTTGGGCAGACATAAAATACCTGTGCTGATGGTCACATGCTTCTCTGCTACCTTCTGGATGATGAGTGCCAACCTCCCATGCTGGAGATACAACAGGAGTGAGCCAGAGTCTCCTGATAGCTCAGTGGACAAGAGGAGCCCATCCTTGTTCCACGTACGAAACTGGAAGCTGACTGACAGACCGTCAAGCTGGGGAGTGCCTGGTAACAGCAAGTAACTGCTGTTAGAGCTGTTGAAGGTGATGGGAGTGATTTGTGGTTCTGAGCAGGCAAAAGTCACATTACCCTGAAAAATAATAGAAAAAAGGGTGGGCGGAACACAACAAACAACAAGTAAGCTGTTTCTCCATCCAGCTGCTCTGAACACCCTGCTGACATCACAACAGCAGGACAACAAGGAAAAGTAGCTTTAGGATTATATTACCTATAATACATATTTGGAGAGATAGATAGAATCACACCCATAGACAGCATGGAGGATTAAAAGGTTTTCAGATTAGTAGACATATTCTTGCTGAGATACTTTCTTGCTGAGTCCCTTTTTAACAGACTCCATAAAGACTGGGTTATTGTTGTTTTGAATAAGAACAGTGTACTGAATGTGGGAAACGCACACACAAATGCTGTGCTGAACTCTGAGATTTTTGAGGAACAGGCAGATGCCATTCTGCATACTTTGGCTATGTTGCTGTCCATTGATCAGCAGCAGAATCCACCATGACTTAAATGCAGAAGATCCCAGATTTCATCCCAACAGATATATCTTATTTTGAAGTTTGCTTTTGTAGTAACATACAGTGGTTTGACGTTAGACTTCATCTCCAATTTAGGACTGAGGCACAAGTCAGCATCTTCATCAATTCCTTCAACAATTGTGTCAGCTACTAGGTCTGGAGTATATACGTGGCATTTCTCCAGAGGTGGGAGTCCCCAGTAGCAGTGGCAACATCAAAGAGGGCTACCCTTTTGGGGGATGGCATGAGGTTGAGGGCCTATGCTGCTGTCTTAAAGACAGAAAAATAATGATTTCATGTTGAGATATGCTGTTGGCTATTTTTGGAAGGATATAATTCCTATAAAGCGAGAAAGATGATAGGAATCATGGAAAAGTTGTGCTTTCTTGATGTAACACAACTAATTGGAATAATTAACAGTAGGGTTTTGGTTACCCCAACTGTCTCCAGATTAAAATGCTGCAACTCAATGCCAAGTCAGTGAAGCAGCAACCATTCAGTGCTTGGTTATGAATAAGCAGGCAAACCAGGCCTGTGTCACATTCATGTATGTTGCTGAAGGTAAATAGTTGAGATAGACTATGGATTCCATTGGTATATCAACATTTCTGCTCCACAGTGCCACTTCCTGAACTAGCTATGGTGATTCTAGGGGTGGGCTGAAACTGCCTTGTTTGTGTAGCTCAGGATATTATGTTCACCATGGCAATCACATGTCTCTCCCAAGATGTTTTTGTCCTCATATATGCTGCTGGACACATTCTAGATCTTGTTTTCAGTGATAATCATCAAGAAATTGTAGAACTTACTACAATTCTGTTGTCATGGATGGGTTTACACCTAGCCAGGTTTAGACTTGCTTGGACTCAGAATGTGTAAGAGTGGTGAACCAATTAAGATGGCCTATCCTTTTTATTCAGGTAGGTTTTTAAAGATGAAGGTGTTTAAGATCAATTCAGGGAGTGCTATGATTTTAATCTTTGAATTTTTCTTAATAGTTTTTAACTGGGAATTTTTAAATACTGTTTATATTTAATCCTGTTTTAATGTTCATATATTTGTATAGTTTAAATGGTTATGCTAATGCTTTTATGTTAAGCCACTTTGAGTCCCCTCAGGGGGAATAAAGCAGGATCCAAATAATAATAATAATAATAATAATAATAATAATACCCAGAAGACTGATACAATTGTACAGTTCCTAATGGCTGTTACATGAGTAAACAATTCCATATATCCAGGGGATATCATTCTGGCTCCTGCTTACCCAGTCTGTGCAACTTGGGGATGTGAACAGGATCTCTGGAGCAGTGCAAGGCACTGATGGATATAAACCCTTGGTTCCTCATGTTTCATTAAGAAGGCCAAAAGGAATTAGTTGAGTGGATCAGGTAGTGGTCAGTTCCATTTTCACCATGTAAGAGGCCCAAAATGCCTGAAGGAGGTTGCTGGAAGACCTTTACAGAGTCGGAAAATGGTATTGGATCCTATTATATTGAATAGCTATCTAGATTTCTAAAACTGAAAGGATACCACATGTTCTGGTATCTTGCTCAAAATGCAATATTGGACAGTGGTCAATAGTTATCCACCCCCTCCAAAAACTGAGCTAGCCTATGACTAAGCAGGACCCAAGTCCTCTTTCACTGTCAGGAAGGAGAAATGGAAACATTATACTAGGCATAAAACTGAACTGATCTTCATCTGATCCAGATACTGGCTCTTAAGATAGACTAAGGAGGAGCAGAATGGGAGACATGTTTCCTCAATCAGGTAACTGATCTAGGATTCCAGACACAGCAACAACAACAAGAACAGCAGCAACATAGTGGCTTTAAATACCATGTGTATCCCATATGTTTTTATTGGTTTCAGTAAAGCAGACTGACTATTGAGCTTGGTAAATGCATTATCTACAGATGATATACTTTTTTATCTCCCTTGATCAGATAGATTGAAAATATATTTCTCCTTGTACTGATCTTCCTTAACTGCTAATTAAAAAGCATTCTTGACACAAAATACTTGGGCTTCTGAATATTTTAAACTGCAGTTGATCAGATTTCATCATTTCTTTCTTTCTTCTTCAGATAAACCATTGCCAGAACAATTCTACTTAAGTGACTGGCAATAGCCCTCAAGCTTTCCTTCTAACTCTTGATTTCACCATTATTTCAAATCTAAATGCCCTCTTGTGCAGTAACTGGAGTCCTAGTGCCTTTGTTCTTAGTCATTCCATTGTAGTTTATTCAACCAAGTTGTATAACAAGCAATTAAGCACAGAAGAGGAGCCATAAAGTCATATCTTTTTCAAAGAAAAAACCCCAGTGTGTTTCAGGGTGGTGGCGGGTAGCTGTATCTGCATGCTTTTGAACTAAGGCACTTTGTGAAATATCAACTGAAATCTGATAAACCTGCTTGAAGTATAAAATGTTCACTGTGGCACAGTTTCTCATTAGAACTGGTATCTCATTCTAACAGAACCATTAGATGAACAAAAGATGACTGATACATGGGAAATAATAGGGTGTTTGGGGATTCCTATATTAAAAGGATAGGACAAATTGATGTGCCTTAGGGTGCAGATCAGAAAGGTGGGGATGTACTTGACTGTGTGAAGTGGTCTGGATTGGCAGTGCCCTCCCCTCATTTCTCTAGAAGCAGCCAGGGAACTTGAGGATGGAAAACAGATGTGGGGTTCAAGGTAAAGACAACAGTTACCAGTGTGTGGCAGCTTCTACTGACATCCAGGTCTCCAGCCCAGATCCAGAGCATCTGGTTCATCGATCACCATGTGGGCTAGTCAATGCTGAGATCTAGGACCCATGTGCAGTTCCCAACCCAGTCATCAGTTGTAACTAATAAAAGTTGTGGCCTTGTTACTTCAAAAGTAGTTGTCTCTTGTGTTGTCTTTCCAAGTGGAGTACCTCACCCTGTACACACAATAAGCTATTGGCTTGATTCTAATTAACATTGCCAGATGGGGATGGGACAGGACTAAAATTCTAGTAACAGAAATCCAGATAGTTACATTTCTTTTGGAGGTGATTTTCTGTGTGTGTTGGAACATGCATGCATGTGATATTTTGGACTCTTCAGGGAAAAATATTATTTTTATGTATTTAATATTATTGTAACATAGTTATGTATGCACTGTGTAGTAGATGTTATAAGGTAAGGATCAGGAGAGGGTAGGATGCTTGAATGTTGGGAATGAGTGGTGATTGGTAAGATGTCTAAGAGGATTTTGAAAAGTCTGGTATAAGACAGTGGATCAGAAATGAGTGGTGCCTGACAAGATTAGTTAGAATAGGGTTAAGGAGTCTGAATGGTGATGGTGATAAGAGTCAAGCAAGATATGAGCATGTGAGAGAGTGTTAAATGTGATTTAAACATATTAAATAAGTAATCGACATTTCTCTACATATAACTAAAATACATTTTCTCTAGGTATATTTAAGCCCTCTAGCCTAATACTGGAAATGGACGATAGAATTGTGCTGGAGGACCTAGAGATACTTAGAAATAAAACTTCTCTAGGCATTTGTATGTTCTCCAGCATGACTCTGTGATTAACTTCTCCCAGAAGTTGGCATTTGTATATCCGATATGGACAGAGATTGACCATAGAATAGTGGTGGAGGATTTACAAACTATTCTTTTATGTGAAAAATAAAAATAGTGGACCTATATTTGTTAGGTTTTTTTTACTTTTGCAAGGATCCTGTATCTCAACCTTTGTGAATGTAGAGTACAGGTGATAACCTTGAGCCTCTGAGGATGCCAAATATTGGAAAGTTGAGTTCTGAGTGTCATCAAATTAGATGTGACAGTGTCCAGTTGAGATAAACCCATAAATAGTATCCCAGACAGGAATAACGAGGGCATCTAGGAAATTGGTGGACACACTTGTAGGGCACAAGAGATCAGACCATTGGGTAGCAGAAGTGGGATAAGGGAAAGTCCTCGCATTTGCTAGGAGCAAAGGGACAAGCAGAACCCCAGAATGCATACAGGCAGAGATAGGTGGATTTTGATCTAGCGTGTCAATAATAGATACATGGTCACTGCCTTAGCCCCGTGCACTCTGTAAGCCCTCTTAGTTATTTCTATTTCTATTTTTTACGTTCCTGGACAACTAAAGAGAAAATTATGGAAACTCCTTTTGCTGTAAAACAGGCAATATTCCTATTTTCATATTGTGAGATACACATGCACAGAGCTCCTGAGCATAGTTGAATATTTACACAGTAAATATAGTAATATTCGCTTTATATTAGACAATCTAATAGAATATCATTTTTGATGTGACCGAATAAAGAGTTTTGAAAATGATATTTTAAGGCCATAAATTGTTCTGGTAACTATAGTTCAAAAAAGTAACTTACTGATAATGTATATGATTATGTTTGCTGAGCCTATATGGTACAGTTGCTGGTTAGAAATACAAAATATGGCAATGGCCATAACCCAGCAATCTTTTAATTTGCCAGACATCTCAATGATTTAACAGATGTGATTTGTAGCACTGAAGGATCAGTTAAAAACTTAT